CATGAATTTAATATAATTAATTATTCAACAAGAATTTATGAGGAAAGTAGAAGATTTCTGGCGTAAAAAATATCAAAAATAGAAAACATTATCAATTTTTTAAAGTTTTTAGTTCGCCTAACAGCTTTAGATGAGGCATTTATTTAAAGTGGTTCGAATTCACTAAATTTATTAGTAGATATGAAAGTTGATCTAACAAATCAATCGTTTAGAAATATAAGGATCAAAAATACTACACTAATTGGTGCTAGTTTTGCTAAATGCGATTTAAGTGGCTCAAAATTTGAAAATGTTAATATTAATGGTTTAAATTTGAATGGTGCTTTATTGTGTAATTGCTAATGGGTAAATTTACATATAAATGAACTATTCAAAATTGAAGGTCATAGTGACGGTGTTTTATCTGTATGTCTCTCTCCTGATGGTATAGTATTAGCATCAGGTAGTGATGATTAATTTATATGTTTATGGGATGTAAAGTCAGGCTAAATAAAAAAGAAGCTAGAAGGACATAAGGGAGGTGTTTCATCAGTATTCTTCTCTAATTATACTGGGACTTTAGCATCTGGTAGCAAAGATAAATGTATTTTTTATGGGATGTAGGATCAGGTTAAATAAATAAAAAATTAGAAGGACATAATGGAGCTGTTTTATCAGTATGCTTCTCTCCTGATGATACTATTTTAGCATCTGGTAGTTAAGATAAAAATATATTTTTATGGGATGTAATATCAGGAGAAATAAAAAAGAAATTAGAAGGTCATAATGGAGCTGTTTCTTCAGTTTGTTTTTCTCCAGATGGTACTACATTAGCATCAGGTAGTCATGATCAATCTATTCATTTATGGGATATCAAGTAAGGTGAGATAAAGTAGATACTGAAAGGTCATAACGATATCATCAATTAAGTATTTTATTGTCCAAATGGTGAGGCTTTAGCATCTGGTAGTTCTGATATGTCTATACGTTTATGGAATCTAAAGATGGGAAAACAAATCAATAGATTAGAAGGACACAGTGGAAGTATTTATTCAATAAGTTTCTCACCTGATGGTAACAATTTAGCCTCTGGAAGTTGGGATTAATCTATTCGTTTATGGGATGTAAAAACAGGTAAAGTAAAGAAAATATTCAATGGACATAATGGAGGTATTTATTCAGTTTGTTACTCTCATGATGGAGCAATCTTAGCGTCTGGCAGTTATGATAATTCTATTCGTTTATGGGATGCAAATTAAGCAGAAGAAACAAAGTAATTAGAAGGTCATACTGGAGTTGTTTCATCTGTATGCTTTTCTCCTGATTGTACTACTTTAGCATCTGGTGGAAATGATAATTCTATTTGTTTATGGGATGTCTAAACAGGCAAATAAAAGAAAATATTGCATCAAAATAGTGGAGATGTTTATTCAGTATGCTATTCACCTGATGGTGCTACTTTAGCTTCTGGTATTTATGATAATTCTATTTGTTTATGGGATGTTAGGACAGGAACAGAAAAAAAAATATTAAAAGGCCATAGCAAAAGTGTTCGATCTCTAGCATTCTCTTTTGATGGTACTATGTTAGCATCTGGTAGTAGTGACACAACTATATGTATATGGGATTTAAAATTTGGAGAGGAAAAAAAGAAATTAGAAGGACATCTTTGGAGTGTCAATACTGTATGCTTTTCATCTGATGGAATAATATTNGGAACAAAATCAAACTCTTAAAGACTTTTAAATCACTCAAGATACGAATGAATTAAAGTAACAGATAAAAAATAATATTTACCTAAATTATCAAAATAAGTAATTAAATCTTTAATAAGTATTAAATACGTTAGTTATAAAAAATGAATTTATAATTTAATTTGTATATGATGCTTTGATAGAATAAAATCTCTCAAGCTATGATTTTTATGATAAATTCATATAGTAATATCATTTAAAATAGATTGAAAAATAAAAGAATTTAGGTAAATCTATTAATAAAGATCGTTTTTTACATGATCTATTAAAATATTAAATAAAACTTGCAAAATTAATGAGCTCAAAACAAGTTACTTAAGTTTAATTTAAATAATAAGGTTTATTATATAGCGATGAGAATAAAGAAGAAGATTGGTTGAATGAATTTTTTAATGATGATAGAAAAAATGGTTCCTATAAGAAAGATATTAGAAGTTGTTCCTTAGTGTTATAAAAAAGTACAAAATTTTAATTTGTACACAAATCTATTTAAGAGTTTTTAATTGCAGTTGATTTGTACGAACTTTTAGTATTATCATAAGATATTGATGCGTTGTTATTTAATACTATGATAGAAGAATAGCTTGAATAGAATAATAATGATTGTATAGGTTTATTCTAAGAATAATAAGTGAAGGATAATTTATATATCAAGTTAATTTCAGCTAATATTTTATCTTCTTATGAAAAGAAAAAAAAGTTGAATGAGATCGAAGATAACATTTAAAAGATTATTGAATTAATCAAATTAATAAAGATCCATGAATTTAATATAATTAATTATTCAACAAGAATTTATGAGGAAAGTAGAAGATTTCTGGCGTAAAAAATATCAAAAATAGAAAACATTATCAATTTTTTAAAGTTTTTAGTTCGCCTAACAGCTTTAGATGAGGCATTTATTTAAAGTGGTTCGAATTCACTAAATTTATTAGTAGATATGAAAGTTGATCTAACAAATCAATCGTTTAGAAATATAAGGATCAAAAATACTACACTAATTGGTGCTAGTTTTGCTAAATGCGATTTAAGTGGCTCAAAATTTGAAAATGTTAATATTAATGGTTTAAATTTGAATGGTGCTTTATTGTGTAATTGCTAATGGGTAAATTTACATATAAATGAACTATTCAAAATTGAAGGTCATAGTGACGGTGTTTTATCTGTATGTCTCTCTCCTGATGGTATAGTATTAGCATCAGGTAGTGATGATTAATTTATATGTTTATGGGATGTAAAGTCAGGCTAAATAAAAAAGAAGCTAGAAGGACATAAGGGAGGTGTTTCATCAGTATTCTTCTCTAATTATACTGGGACTTTAGCATCTGGTAGCAAAGATAAATGTATTTTTTATGGGATGTAGGATCAGGTTAAATAAATAAAAAATTAGAAGGACATAATGGAGCTGTTTTATCAGTATGCTTCTCTCCTGATGATACTATTTTAGCATCTGGTAGTTAAGATAAAAATATATTTTTATGGGATGTAATATCAGGAGAAATAAAAAAGAAATTAGAAGGTCATAATGGAGCTGTTTCTTCAGTTTGTTTTTCTCCAGATGGTACTACATTAGCATCAGGTAGTCATGATCAATCTATTCATTTATGGGATATCAAGTAAGGTGAGATAAAGTAGATACTGAAAGGTCATAACGATATCATCAATTAAGTATGTTATTCTCCAAATGGTGAGGCTTTAGCATCTGGTAGTTCTGATATGTCTATACGTTTATGGAATCTAAAGATGGGAAAACAAATCAATAGATTAGAAGGACACAGTGGAAGTATTTATTCAATAAGTTTCTCACCTGATGGTAACAATTTAGCCTCTGGAAGTTGGGATTAATCTATTCGTTTATGGGATGTAAAAACAGGTAAAGTAAAGAAAATATTCAATGGACATAATGGAGGTATTTATTCAGTTTGTTACTCTCATGATGGAGTTATAGTATTCTAAAAAAACTAATATTCAATTTCTTGGATCGTTAAAAAATTTAGCTTAGTCAAATCCTTAGGTATAAAAAACAAGTATTATATTATATTATTTTAAGTAAATGATTCTATTTCACTTTTTCGAATATCCAAGAAGTAATAATTTGAAGCTTAGGGAACTCTAATTTCATAAGGTTAATTCATTAATCACTTAAAAATGAATTTATAAAAACTACTTCAATAAAAAGGAAGTATTTTGTTAGAAAAATAAGTAGAATGAAATATATATGATAATTATATTTCCAATTATGATAATTAAATTTAGAAATTTCTTTTTATTTAGTATTAAAAGCTTTGAAGGTATAATTTTTAAAATTTAGTCTTCTTTTTCTTAATTATATTTTTATTGAAAAAAAAAGATCTTCTTTATTTCTTATCTAACAAAAGGAATTAAATATATCTTCTCAGGTTAAAGCTTTTAAATTTATAATTAAAACTATAATGTCCAGATTACGTTTACAAATATAATTTTTAGGGAAGATTTTATAATTCTCAATTAGTTAAGAAATAACATTCAATCTCTAATATAGAATGGTTTATGATTTTTCCTAAAATTCAGTAATTCAGATGCGTAATGATATAGAAAAATGGATATCATAAATACAATTGCAATTTCACTAATGGCTCCTAAAAAGGAACTGTTTGCCCAACTAATAAATCAACTCACAGCATTAGGATTATTGTGTTGAAATTTTATGTTAGTGATAAAACTGAATCCTCTCGAGAAAAAGTAGATGAAATTCAATTATCGATAAAGAAGGCAGATCTTTGTAAATTAAATTTTATCATAAAAAACCATATATTATTTCCAAAATGCAATATTTTATTAATTTTATAAAACATACATAAAGAATATAATTGAATTATATAAATCCTATGAGGTAATTAGAAATCTTTTATAAAAAATAATTCAATTATATATATTCATAAATGTAGAAATGTAAAATATTAGAGCAATTAGACACAATAACATGTTAAAATTAACATAAGAATTAACCAATTATTATTGTATTAGTGGATTAAGAATTAAAAGGAAACCAAAGATTGATGTGCCAAGAATGCTTATTAAATAATAGAGGAGTTCTCAATGGTGTTTCATTTAATGACTTTATGGATAAAATTCAAGAAGTAAAACAAAGTGTTTGCTATGAAATAACAAAATCTGTTGAAATATATTCTGACTAATTAGATGGATTAATTAATGATTTTAGATAAATTAAGAGTGAAACTATTCAAATAATTGATCAAATGATGAATCTGATCTCGATGTGGAAGAATGAATTACATGGTCTATCAATAGATTCAATGCGATTCAGCATAATGGAAGAAATTAATAATGTAAATCTATCTCATTAATAATTAATTGATTAAGAAAAAAACTAATATGAAGAAAAAATAAAAAAGTTAAACAATAATTATACTATTAAGACTTTGATGAACGTTGAATCATTAAGGAAAATACTTTGTGAAAATGTAAAAGAGAAATTATAAGCGGTTATAGAATAATCATCAAATTAAAGAAATTGGAATTTAGAAATTTTAAACAAGGAAATTAAAGAAAAGAATAATGAATTGGAAAAAAAAAAATAATAATTATTGTAAGAATAAGCAAAATAATAATCAGTATTTTTTAATTAGGTTTTTACTGATTAAGATTCTTAACTTTTTATGGGAGGAGAATTTAATAAAGATAATTCCTTATTTGTGACAGAATATTTTACATAAATATTTGTATGGAAATTCGAAAATGGAAAATTAATTGATTAAAATCTCAAATTTAAATTAGGGTAGGGAGTAGAATAGACTGTTTTTAGCAAAAAAAACAATTGGTTTGTGTTTGGCATGGAATAAGGGAGTATTAAATGTTGCATTGAAAGAGAAAAAAAATCTTGGTTCAATTCTCATAATTGGGAAATTTCTAAATCGCATAAGAAACATACAAAAAGGATTATTAGTTTGATTTTAAATAACCAAGAAGATCTTTTAATATCTAGTAGTGAAGATCAAACTATCAATATTTGGGGAGTTGATTAGATTAAAAATTCTTTAACCTTTATATATTCACTTGATACACCTATTTCTTGTGTTTTTTAAATAACTTTAAGTTTAAATGAGACTAATTTAGTGTCTCGCAGTGATAAATTAATTCTTTGGGCTTTAGATAAGAATAATAAATGGGCTGTCTAAACTCTGCATGCAAAGTAAATAGATATACAAGGACCTACTTGTTTTATAACAGATGAAATTTTAGTAGCAGGGGAATAATAAAAATCATAAATTACTATCTTTAAGATAGAAAAAGGATCATTTTAGGAGTTACATAATATAGAAATAGAAATAATTGATAAATTAAATTAAAATATGCACTCAAAAATATTTTATAATGGTGATAAATAGGTAATGATTGTACAATTTGGTTAAAAAATATTTATTTTGAAGTAACTCTAAAACTGGAAATTTTATGTTGAATAAAATCTAAGTCTTGAAATATCCAATAAGATTGTTATTTCTAAAGATTACAAATATATGTATCATTTCAGGTCACTATATGAAATAATTTACAAATGATATATTTTATGAAATTTATTATATATTTTTAATTATCATGATCTATTTAAGAAAATTATAATTTTAAACAGTAATTTGGTTAACTATCCTACTACTTGATTATAGTTAAAGATAGATCCCCATCAGGTTTTCGTTTTTTTTAAGAAAAAAAAAGGTTTCTAAATTTATAAGACTTTCACATAATATCATGGGGCCATAAAGGGTCAAGCTTAAGAAAGATTGATAATTAGGATATTTTAAAGAATAAAATATAAGCCTCCACTTATTCCAAGACATAAGGTTGTAATGTAAGGGATTAATTTTGGAATTAACAGAAATTGATTTTAAATTTCATTTAAAATATCAATCTAAAATTCTACTTATTATTAGTAAATAGACTTCGATTATAAACATAGCTTCAGGATTTAAATTATTTTTTCTCTAATATCAACATTATGCATCATAAAAATTAAAAAAAATTTTTATAATTTTTATTTTTAAATGGTTTCACAGATAGATAGAAAAATTTGATTGTAGAAAAATAGAATCAATATATTGTTTAGAATTAAATTAAAAAATTAAGCTATTAAAATCAAAAATTATCTAAATATAAATTTAATTTGTTATTGATTTCCTACTTAAAGAAGGTTTATTGTATAATATGAATACTTTTTAATACTTTAAATATAGATAATATAAGGTCTAGATTGCTGATATTTAATGGTATGATTAGAATAAGGATCTAGGTGATTTTATACATTTAATATTAATAAAATAATAGAAAGGAAATTTTATGTTAACCAACTTAAGTATAATTTGAATTATTTTATAATAATATAATTATTAAATATTTAATCAAGAATAGCTTTGATTCATAACAAAACCATTTATTAATAGTAATTATAAAAAATAAACCGAGAACCTTTCTAAATTATTACAATAATTATAATATACATATAATTAATTTTACGTATATAATATATTTAATTAATTATCTTATTTCTCTGACGATTAGAATTTAAATATGAAAGGAATTATCATGAATTAAGAATAATTAAAAGAAAGGATTAATTATTTTAATGTATAATTTCTAATATAATAATTATCAATCAGTTCTTTTTTGTCTCTTATGATTTTTTTAATTCATTATATTCAATTTTTAAAATTTCCATCTTGAGTTTTTCTTCTTCCTCTTTGGTCCTTTGCTTTATAATTTTTGCTTTCTCTGTTTATGTTATTAATCTAAAAAAAATTATTTAAAAATTAAAATATTTTTTTTCAGACAAAAAATCTTTAAAATCTTTATTATCGCATACATTATTACAACTTTGTCTTATTAGATTCAATTCATTTTCTAAGTATTAAGTAGAAATTTCTTTTATTCTTTATCCATTCAGTATGAATTGAGAGAGGTTATTTATAGAATTCAATTTATTAATTAAATCTTCAATCAATCTTTGATTTTCGAATACATTAAGAAATTTTTACCTCAAAGAATAAAAAAATGAGAAAACACTTATATTGTTTTCTTTTGATTTATATTCTTTTATGTTGTTGTCTATCTAATTGCATTGTTCTATTACATCATCAACATTTCTTGAATGATCATTTAAAAGATTGTTAGTTATCACATCAGTGATTAACTTTAAAAGAAGTTCACAAATTTCATCTTAATACTTTAAAATAGTATTATAATACTCTTTCATATCAGGATTTAATGCTAAAGTGAACACAATCTTGGATTTTTATTAATTCTGTTCCTATTATAAGTATTTACATTAATTTAAAATTTATTATTTAATATTCTCTAATAGGCCATAGTTTATTTATTTTCTTTGATTTTATTTGAAATCAATTTAATTTTATAATTTAATTACTTATTTATTTAAATCTTTTATCTCTTAAGTCAGTTTTTCCTCACCTAATAATTTATTAATTTTGTTGTTAATTTCCATTTTTTATTTCTCTAATTGTTATATTTCATTTTTATAAAGAAAATGAGATGCCTTATAAATTTCAATCTATTTTTAATAGCTTTTATGAACTAATTTTTTTAGCTTTCTACTTCAATTTCTTTTTTCNATTACAATAATTATAATATACATATAATTAATTTTACGTATATAATATATTTAATTAATTATCTTATTTCTCTGACGATTAGAATTTAAATATGAAAGGAATTATCATGAATTAAGAATAATTAAAAGAAAGGATTAATTATTTTAATGTATAATTTCTAATATAATAATTATCAATCAGTTCTTTTTTGTCTCTTATGATTTTTTTAATTCATTATATTCAATTTTTAAAATTTCCATCTTGAGTTTTTCTTCTTCCTCTTTGGTCCTTTGCTTTATAATTTTTGCTTTCTCTGTTTATGTTATTAATCTAAAAAAAATTATTTAAAAATTAAAATATTTTTTTTCAGACAAAAAATCTTTAAAATCTTTATTATCGCATACATTATTACAACTTTGTCTTATTAGATTCAATTCATTTTCTAAGTATTAAGTAGAAATTTCTTTTATTCTTTATCCATTCAGTATGAATTGAGAGAGGTTATTTATAGAATTCAATTTATTAATTAAATCTTCAATCAATCTTTGATTTTCGAATACATTAAGAAATTTTTACCTCAAAGAATAAAAAAATGAGAAAACACTTATATTGTTTTCTTTTGATTTATATTCTTTTATGTTGTTGTCTATCTAATTGCATTGTTCTATTACATCATCAACATTTCTTGAATGATCATTTAAAAGATTGTTAGTTATCACATCAGTGATTAACTTTAAAAGAAGTTCACAAATTTCATCTTAATACTTTAAAATAGTATTATAATACTCTTTCATATCAGGATTTAATGCTAAAGTGAACACAATCTTGGATTTTTATTAATTCTGTTCCTATTATAAGTATTTACATTAATTTAAAATTTATTATTTAATATTCTCTAATAGGCCATAGTTTATTTATTTTCTTTGATTTTATTTGAAATCAATTTAATTTTATAATTTAATTACTTATTTATTTAAATCTTTTATCTCTTAAGTCAGTTTTTCCTCACCTAATAATTTATTAATTTTGTTGTTAATTTCCATTTTTTATTTCTCTAATTGTTATATTTCATTTTTATAAAGAAAATGAGATGCCTTATAAATTTCAATCTATTTTTAATAGCTTTTATGAACTAATTTTTTTAGCTTTCTACTTCAATTTCTTTTTTCAAAAACTCTTTTATCTTATTCATTGTATTCGATTTTAATTTATTAAACACAGGTATAATGAATTTTTCTAATTAAGATTCAATTAACCTGTCTCCAAAAAACAAATAGAAATGCTCAATAGTTTAATAAAAATCATTAATATTTTCACACAATTATTATCCATCAATTAAAATTAAAAATATTACTTAAGGTGATCTTTGTAATTATGTAAAAATTTTAACCTAATTAATTAATCTAGTTTAATTATCTGTATCAAAAAATCCTGGTGTGTCCGTGATCTTTATCAAATGTATTTTTAGTCTCACTTTTACAAACTTAAGATATTGTAATATTATGAAATTGCTTAATGATAGAGAAATATTTTTTATTATCAATTTCAATAATTTCAATATTATTAGGATTAATCAAGATATTTAGTAATGTACTTTTACCAGTTTTTGTTAAACCTAATAAGCAGACATTCGTCTTATTAATCGGATTTTATTTAATCGAAAAATTATTTAATTCTTGAAACATTTTAAGTTTAGACGGAAGATGAAAATCAAAGTACTTAATCTCAAAAGTACATTATTAAGATATTATTTTCATTTCTTTTTCTAAATAACTTTTCACAATGTCTTAAGTAAAATTTCTAGAAATTAATTCTTTTGTTTTATATCCTTCTATTACTTCATTATTAACTTTTTCATAATTAAATAAAAATATTTTTTCCTTCATAATAAATGAATTAACATTTTCGTCTTTTTAAGCCAAATATTTTAAGTAGTTTTAAATACGAGGCTCCCAATGTAAAATAGCTGAGTGAATTTCAGAGACAATAATTTTTATATTCGATTCTCTTTAATTAATTATTTAATGGAATCTACATAAGAGGCCACGCAATAATTTTTATAATTGTTAAAAATTCTCATCTTTTTTTTCATAATTTAAATTAGTTGGCAATTCAAGTAATTAGTATATATTAAGTTAAAATACTCTTATATTTTTCAGGAATAATAATGTTAGTACTTCCAATTCATCTTTTAAGTAAAGGTAAAATTGAAACGGCTACAGAGTAATAATCATTTTATTCAAATTAGAAAAAACCTGTAGGTGAATTTAAATGATTTATAAATGATCCTAACAACTTCTTAGATTCTATTTCTTTTTATTTACAATCCTTATTGAATGTTAGATTCTTTTTTGTATTTTAGATAAAAGAAACAAGTTGATCTAAAATTTTCGGCTAATATAACTAAGAAGTAATTTACTACTAATTCTCATCTATTTAAAGTAATACGATGTTTTATTATTAAATTAAGAAGCCATCAAATAACTAATAAATATGCTGATCAATTTATTATTATTCTTACTATATTGGAAATTTATATTGAAGAATAACTTTTATTTAGCTTTTATTAAACTATTGGACAAGTTGGAGTAAATTAATCTTAACTTAAGTCAGTTTGTTTATATCAAATGCATCGTTTGAATTTTCCTAAAAAATTCCTTAAAAATAATATAATTATGTCACATAGGACTATTATTTTTACTCAAATTTAATATATGTGGAATTTTTGAAAATAATTTTTAGATTCTTTATGTTTTTTAATTCCATTAATGATTTATTACTATGTTCCAAATTGAAATACAATATTATCCTTTTTTAACTTTCTTCTTAAACATTTTGATTTTTGAGCATGGAGGATTTATTAAAAAAATTATTAAAATAAAATTAATAGAATTATAGTATAAATTATTTTTTTATAGATGTTAAATTAAAATCCATGATGAATTTTAAAAAATCTATTTTAATTTTTAATCATGTGATTATTATGTTCATATTAATACTAAACATGTATAATTTTAATTCATGAGTTTTAATATTTTCTACATTAATATAATTACAATTATAAATATTAAAATTGTATTGGAAATTAATTATTTATAGCTAAATATATAGTCGACAAAGACCAAATAAATTAAAGAGAAAACATTTATAAAATAAATATAATAAATTAAGTTTAAGATAGAATAGTGAAATGAGATATTATAATTCATTCAAAAAAAACGGTGATAAAAATTTATGCTATTTTTCTTTTATATATTTCGTATTAGGACCAATATTGAATTGATTCTTATCATATTTCATCTTCAAAATTGATCCTTCATAAAAATGTTAAGATAAAAAATAGCTAAAATTTATAAAACCCTTTTTTAGTACTCATTTATTTATTTCCAGAACATAAATTAAATTATATTTATTCATCATCCCTGTCTCTAACTTTTGTAGAGATGTACCGTTTTGATTAATAAGTAATTTATTTATTCGCTACAATATTCTAAAGTGAGATCCTTACATTATATTATTAATTACTTAATTTTAAAATATGATTTAGCTCTATTATGATCTTGATTTTATTGGATTTATTTTTATAGCTTTCTTTCATTAAATCTAAACAATAATAAAAACCAAAGTCACTTTAAAGACTAAGAAGAAAAAGCCACAATATTAATTTCTTAATAAAAATTTTATTATTACCACAAATTAAAACTCAAATTTAAATAAATTGAGTTTTCTTAAGTATTAAAAATCTTGTTCTAGATAAAAGCAATTTATTTAATTCGATTTAGAAAATGATGGTTTGAGAATAAATTAAATTTTTGAGGAAATTAAAAAAAAAATTCTATTTTATATTTAACTCTTTTTCTAGAACTAGATCGTATCCCTTAAAAACATCATTAAATTATACAGTTTATTATGAACTAATTATTAAAAGCTCTATTATTTAAATCCTCACTCTCATTAAATAAATTTTATTTAATTATGTTCAAATAATTATAATTTTGCCATTAAAATTATAAATTCATAATTTCTTTTTTAAGAATAAAATTTTTGAGTTTAATTATCGTAATTAAATTTATCTACAATTCTTTCATGTATAATTATTATTATTGATATATACTCATTCAATAGTTTGTTTTTTCGATCAGCTATAGGAAATAAAATTTGTAAAATGGGTTTGGGTTTGGGTTTGGGTTTGGGTTTGGGGTTGGGGTTGGGGTTGGGGTTG